TCACGATCGTGAGTCATAAAGAATCATGATGGTCACGAATCATCGTGTGGTACGTAAGCAACACTCTCCATCAAACGCACGAATAGCAATCATTGCCACACTGGGACGCGAAGATGACGAAAGAGACGGATATAAGTGCATTAGTGATGATAGTGCAAACAGACTGGTAAGATTTCTTAGTCACTCGACACTTTCAGTGTGAATTGTTGTTTCTATATCGATATCCAGGTTAACAAACCCGACACTAAGATCAGTTTCAGATTCTTATACGTTCATATTCGATCTTACATCATTATCTTACATGATCATACAAGATCACCCCGGAACATTGTACGAAAAATCGTGGTCTCAGATTTCTTACATCAAGAATTACAGTAAATATCCAGTCTGATCAATCAGTAGGATCTTGTACGATTAAACGAATTCATTACCTAAGATTTCTATTGATCTATCAAAAAACATACATTATGGATGACCGTGGTGTCTTAATATATCAACCATAAATTTAATTAACGTCGTGTGCCGGAGAAAAAATCATTTTGAAGATAAAGAAGACGAATATAAACAGGAAGTCAAGGTTCAGAAAAACCAACAAAGCAATCAAACAAAATAAACGAAATTATCAAGAAAAGCATCTACACTAATCAACCACAGATAAACTGATGCCAGCACTGTAACAATCACAGAGAGGATGCGAATGGGTGTGGGTGTGGGTGTTGATCTTCACTTCGCTTACACCCACACCCCCAGTATACCTATACCTATACAGATACATCACCCTACCTATACCATAGTGGGTATATCACCCTACCTATACCATAGTGGGTATATCACCATACCTATACTTCAATGAGTATATCACTGTACCTATACCGATACAGGTATATCACCCTACCTACACCCTAATAAGTATACCACTATACTTATAGTGATTCTGGTGTATTTCCCTACTTTTATCCTTTTGGAGAGATCTTCTCACCTATTCTTATACTTCTATCAAGGCTTGCACCGAACCCGAACATTCGACTTCCGATTTAGTTACTACTGTATTCAGCTTTTCATTAGATAATAAGGAGAATTGGATGTCAGCCAAAAGCCAAAGGACCACGGGCTTCACAATCACTAATCTCAAATAGTGAAATAGATGATCCAAAATTTTAGGATCTGGAAAGTTCTAAAAGTGAATTATCTTCAGAAATACTGTATTATAAGCTGGAACTTAGCTAAAGTTTAGAGTGCTTTCATCATTCATCTTGTATCTCAAGAACTGCTTAAGCCATTACCCAAATAATAGACATGGAAGGAAATTTACCCACACCCTCAAGTCATATTTTCTGCTAGTCTGGTCAAGAAATTCTAGTTTTAATTTATTTCTCCGCAACAAATTATTATTAAGTCAATTCAATTATCTGGCATCACACGTAGAATGAGAAAGAAGCAAATATTATCCTGTAAAAGAAAGAGACCCGGCTCCGGTCAACAAGGACCCTTAGAACAACATAATCGATGTTCCATAACGATCTTGTAAACTTCCAATAGTATTCTTGTTTTTTTAAAGAATAAGACTTTTCACTGGCACTATCTTAACTTCTCAATAAATGAATGACTGAAGAAGAAATGGAACTTAATGTTTTTGTCAAATTTACTGAAGTCAGTTGCTCGTGTTGAGGTTTCATTACTATGGATGAAGATTTTTCAGTGAAATCTACCACTAGCGTAGTTATTAATCTGAAGCTAACTTCAATGTATATGGTTGCTTTACGAACAGACAGTTCATAGAAAATTACCAATCGAATATGCATTCTGTGTGTTGTTTTGTATCTTTTCCGAAAAATTTCTTTCGATCTAACGGAGAAATTAAATACGTTCTCAGATTCGTAAGAAGTGTTAATAGAACAAACTTCGACATGTTTACATGAAGTGGTGTTCTCTTTAATTCTAAAAGTGTATTTCGTAATGAAAGCTTTTCTAGACTTCTAAAAAAAGCCAATGTTAAGGAAAACTTTAACTAAAATACAATGGATTTACATACAATATGTTACTATTTTAGAAATATCTCGTCGCATATTACACGCACGAGTGTGTACTGTGTCTCTTGGATCTTATGAACATGAGAACTTTTTTCATACACACGACATAAAGACGTTTTTCAGAGCAAGTGCAAAAGGAACACCAAAATGGTTTCAACATATGCTCCCAATCAAGAAACGCATTCTCAAATAACCTCTGTCAAGAAAGTGTTCGTACAAGCTTGGTTGTTCAGATTTTTGACACTTAGAAATAACTTGAGAAAATGAAAAAGTAATCAGTTAGAATCAGAAATTGATGCTCTCTTTAAATGTGTATTCAGAATTTTCTTCTAACATGAAATTCAATCATTGAGAGCAAATCTTTGATGAAGTTCAAAAATGACGCTTGT